GACCTCTTCCAGTCCTGTCGAAGGCGTGGCGATAAGCCTGAATGCTGCGTGCGAGTTTAGCAGCCCAAGGACATGCTCAGTCAAGAGCTCGTCCCTGGCGCGTGTCTGCGAAGACATCGTTTGCAGCTCTGCCCTTTCGATCACGCGAAGTCCGACACCAATGTCGGGCTTTGGGATAGAGAGCGGTCTCGAATCTGCTGATGACGGTCCGACGGGTGCCGTTCATGCGACATCTTCGCTAGTCCGTGTAAGAGTGAGCAAAGAGTCAGCGTGACCCTATCGTCAACTCTCGAAATACCTCACCTTGAACAAAAGGCGTCACATTCCGTGATAACACTCATGATACGACAATTCAGATGCATCCATGCGCTCTCTACCCTGCCCTGATAAGAATTTGGTTGCATGTTCTTGACAAGAACCGCGCAAGATATCGCTTCTCTGAGCTCCGCGACTGAACCTGCTTCCACAACATCAGCGATTTGGGCCATGGTCGGTTCGTACTGAATTGCATAAGATGCATCGGAAGGTCAACTAATTGCGGCGTATTACGTACGTGGCTACAAGCATCGACCCACCCCGATCAAGGCTGGCGTCAATGGATTAAGGTCGCTGAGGCTCCGCTTAAGAGTGTCGACATGCAACGGCACCCGTTCTTGTGGAAGGCGATTGACGAAGATAGATGCCTGCTCCAGAAATCGTTTCCTGTAGGTCCGACTAGCAGCCTTCGTATAGCTTGTGCCTTGAGAGTCTGACATGGTGTTAGATAGCTAAACCCTGTTAAACCCTGTTAGAGCTGTCAACAAATCCTGTGCTCTCGGTCAATTGTATTATCTTTGCATCGAGGCTAGGCTCATTGCCATGTGGTCATGGCCAATCCGGAGATCCATCGTGGCATATCACGTGTCAAAGAGCTCGAGTCTTTAAACTCTAGCAAGTCACGGGAACCACCCAAGACGATATGATCTGTTCACAACAGGGACTGACTGAAGCGTAGATCTAGCCTTGTCACAGGAAACAGCCGCGTCACATCAGGTACACATGCTGTCTCAAGTGATGGCACCGACGGTCAATCGCTTTTCGGTCCGCATTGGGGACCAAGACGTGCCCTTCTAAGCAATGACTGTGGCTTTTCTGTCTGAAGAAGCTCGAAGCGATCTTTGCGAGCATCAAACTCGTCGAACAAGAGAGGATCATCGCGTGGAGCCACGGCTCCATATCGAAACACCGCGAGGGTGCGCTGTGTGATGATGTCCCATTCAATGCTTGGCCAGCCGATGAGGAGAAAGATGTCAGCAAAGATGGCTCGCGGCGTTGTGCCCAGAACGACGAGAAGCGACCTCGTTACCATGTCCAACGTAAGCAGGCCGACAACGAGGTGAGCGGGCCGGTCCTCGACAATCCTCAATGTGTTGATGGCGTGCGGTTGGCCTCTGTCCTTGCCTCTGCTCTTGTTCTACTGCACGTGTCCCATCTCGCCGTTACCGTCGTCGTCGTCGTCGCAGTCTTTGTTCCCTCCCTCAACTTGCTCAAATTTGCTTGAAGACGGACAACGCCTCGGTGATCCATGAGCACTGCGGCACAAACTCGTTGGGTGCAGGTAGTCCCAGAAAGCCACTGACGAGCGTCGTGATACCGAGGGGAAAAAATCCTAATGGAAGCCAGCGGGCCTTGACAAGGGCATTTGCCTCGCTTGGGCCTTGACGAAGCTGACGTTGTGGTCAAGGTAGAAGAAACCATGATGGGAAAGCAGAGCGGCACGCCCCCGAAAACCCGTTTGACCTCAATGATCCAGAAATGCAACGAACCAGCGTCGGTCCATTGTGGAGAAGAGCAACTTTGTGATGTGCAGCCGCTCAATCGGCACCTTGGGCAAACAGTTTTCGGGAAAATGGCTGACGCCGGTTCAAGGACGCAGCCGTCAGCGAACGCAAACGACGAGATGAAGTAGCGGGTACGAAATGGCAGGTGAGTCGCGTTTCCGATGGTTGACACGAAGTAGACGGAGACGGTAAAGAGGATGGTGACGTGAACGGTGAGCCACCCTGTGGCATTGTCAAGCAGTAGTGGCTCAGACTCGAGAATGAGGAGCTCGATGCCCATTTGGATATAGACGATGCCGACATAGAAGCCTAATGCGTGGCTTGTCATGTAGATGATGAAGCGTGTGAGCTCACATACATCGCAGGTGGCGACGACGAAGTGAGATTGGGCGGCTCAGAGGAGCGACCAGGCTTGGACGCGGAGGTAGTCGATCTGGCTCAGGCCATGGGAGCCGACGACAATGTCGTACAGGATATACTGTACCAGGTTGATGAGATCGGTGACGCCGACAAAAGTGAGTGGCTAAACGGAAAAATTGAACAGACGACGGCGACCAGTGCAGAAGCCAGGATGACCTCGTTGAGGCCGTATGCGCCGTGCGTGCGGTGATTCGGGTCGACGTTGTACAAGATGGGCGGCATGAGACTGTGTGCTGGCAAGTCAGCGTTCGTAGATATAGCTTGATCCTTCTCACTTCAACTCACTTGATGAAAAAATCCTGGGAAAGTACTGTGCAACCGTTCACCAGTTCCTTGGATCAAGCGATGAGGTCCAATTCGTCTTCACAAACGGCAGGCGCGTCCTAATGTCGTAGTACATGCTCCTGCAAGGTCGCAATTGATACCACCATGACCTCTCACTCCAAGGCAGATCGCCGGCAATTCGTGAAAACTCGGACTTACCGAATGATTCTGTCGTGCCAGCCTCGGCTTGAGCCCGGATACAAGTGTCTGCGTCAATATCATTTACCGCACCACGCCTAAGAGCCTTGGTCAATCTGCGCGCCTTGCTCCTCCGTTGCTGTCGACCTTGCGCAACGAAGCCGGAGCGATCACCCTTCATCGGCCCTATCTCATCCCTGGCATTCATAGTCACGATTCTCCACCTCCCTCTCTAATGGTTGTGAAAAAGATGCAAGCCATCTCACCTTCCGGCTGTCAAGCGCGATCGAGAATTGGAAGAGCAGGTAGGCACACTGTGTAGTCTGTGGGGTCGAAACTAAGGATTCTATTCAGAAAGCTAACCAAGGGGGGGGGGGGGCGCATTAGAAACCAAACTCGAAGTGGTCGTCCTGGCTTGATCTCGGTCGGCATCTGCTTCACAATGGACAAGTGAAGATATTGCCTATAATGAGAGCCCATCTTAGATTTATTCCGGACTGCCCAGATGAAGCGACCGAAATTAGAGAAGTTGCTGACAAAAGGTTGCTCTATCGACTTTGCGCACAATGCAGGCCCAATTAGTCACCGCGCCACAACGCTCCCGGGGTCATGCCCGGCCGCTCTGGCCGTTTTTTTCACCAGTCATCGCGCCAGCAACTCTGGCCCTTGTGGAGTGAACATTGCTTCCACATAGTCCATGTTCACCTCGGTTTGATCGCGAAAGGTCCAGATGCGAGGCTGGCTCACCGAATTTCCGCAGCGCATGTCGATCTGGCAATCCTGTACAGCGAACGTAAGGTCGCCGCCCTGCCCACCGTGGCCAGTACCATAGGATCGCTTGAGGTAAGCCTCTACGATCCCAACGCCGTTAAGCCCAATGCCTGTCTTGTATGGGGTTTCGCTCTGCCTGCTTGCCATCGCGGCTGCCTCCTGGTTGTAGACATGCCAGAATCCGTGGGCGCCTTTGCCTGCGAAGCTAGAGATCTGCTTGAGCCGATCCGTGAAAAAATCTTTGAGCTGCTCGGCGATGAACCAAAGGCAATGCTCTACTTCCATTCTTCCTTCGGCTATCATGCAGTCAAATAAGCCCGTAGCGGCGATAAGCAAGCCCGTCTCAGCGCTTGATGCTGTTCCCTTCAGACCCTCCTCCTCCGCCATCCATCTGCGCAGGTTGAAGGTGACCACCATGACCGCATCGTCATGGCCCATGGAGGTTTCCTCTTCCGTGCGAAAGAGCTCCAGAGTTGCCAAAATGAGACATGCTCCAATGCCGTAGGCGGCTGTCAAGCCTCTCCCCTTGCATGCTCAAAGGAAGTCTTTGCTGGTCTCCTTGTCAAGCCTGAACCGATGCAACTTTGTAAGCAATGCGTCTCTGGGCCAAGGCTTCATTTTGCCGGCAAATGACTCGTTGAGGGGCAAGCCCGCTTTGGACTTGAGAGCAGAAAGAAGGCGCGTGAGCAGAAGTCCCCATTTGGCATCAAGCAACCCACCTCAATCAGTCGCTTGCCAAGG